GACTTTTACAGCAGCTTAATACATTTTTATCAGAAAAAATACCATATGCTATTTTTAAATGAATGGGGCTTTAAAACCAAATAAATAACGATGGAAATTATAGTAAATAGTTTAGACATCGGGATCGAGATGCCTCTCGCACCTCGATACGTATACGGGTACGTATGCTTATACGGATACGTGAGAAAGAACAATCTCTATTACAAATAGAATTTAACTGATAAATTAAATAAACAAGCACATGTCCGCATTTACACTGAATTTGAATCATCTGATTTGTATATGACAAGCACTTGTTCATGTAAATAATTTGAATTGTAAACTTTAGTATTTGATACAAATCCTCTTACATAGTCAGTTTGATAATTGTGTTTATGCTCCTCCTCTATTTTTTCTGTCAATAAATTGTTTTTAGGTGCTATATTTATCCAACTAAACATGTACATGGTAAAATTAGAAAATGAAATCACAAAATAAGCAATGTTAGCTCCTTTGAGCAGTTATAAGTGAAAACGCTATTCTATTTTCATTATCTTCAAGAAATTAAAACCCAGTGCCAAATTAAAAGTAATTCAAAAAAATTATATGTTTAATTATTTTAAGATATCATCAGTTCATTTGAGCAATTAAAGATATCTTCCAATTATTAAAGATATCTTCAGTTTTGAATCATTGTGTGAATTAACTCAATTGCTTTACTCCTCCATGTTAACTAATCCCACCTTTGATGTTTTTTGAGGTCCGAGTTTGCTTTGCTCCAAACTTGTATTGTTTCTTTTGACTTTTGAGCTTGATTACTGTTTGTTATCTCCATATTTCATCATAAATAAGAAATGAAACTAAATAAAATTGTGTGCAATAATTGAATTGCTGGTATTTCCAAATGAATTATTGATATTCAGGTAATGCGCGCATGAACTCTATGTGAGATCATTTTTTCAATTCAATAAATCTATAATTTAAAGAATGATCTTTTAACTGAATTGTTACTCTTTTTAAAAAATTGTGACAGGTATTTTTTTTTTTTATAAAAGATATTGTTAACTATAAATCAGAAAAAAAATCAAGAAATCAGAACTAAGAGTTTTTAGGCTACAATAGTATTTCCAACCCATTCTTTAGCTAAACGAATGAATTAATGCGTGTATTGATTAAATTCATGAAAGCAATAAATAAACCTGTGTGCGTCTCATCAATTCATAAAGAAATATGAAGATAAGGTACAATAACGTACAGTAATCAAGCTCAAAAGTCCATTGAAACAATACAAATTGGAGCAGAGCAAACACGGACCTATAAAACATCAGAAGTGGGATCAAGTGCCATGGAGGAGTAAGCATCCCCTATGTACCTGTCATGATAGCTAGATTGTATTTGCTGACAAAGTCATTGTATCGACCTTTACTTTGCAAAATGTTGACGTTCAATGAGACTTTTTATATTCTTGTTTTATCAATTGTTTGTTAATAGACTGCCTCATTTTAGAAATTGTCCATGCATCTGTAGAGAGTACTCTTGCGTATCGAATCAGCTGGGAGATATAAAAACCATGTTCAGGTGAAAATGGTATATTGACTATAGAAAAGCTGAAGTCATCACTTTTATCATAAAGTTTTGTTGTAAGGCTAACATTAACGTCTTTTTCTATAGTAAAATATCCACATATAAGGCAGATGTTTCAGATTCTGTATCCTTTATTTCAAGTTCAAGAGATATATCGAATCAACGTAGGAATGAATATTAATAAATTTCCTCGATATATCTGAATGTTGAATTGAAGGCCACAGCAAAGAGACGTCTTCTTTTTTTATGTAGAGGTTTTTGAATTAATTCTTTATATGAATAAAAATAGGTCTGCTAGTAACGGGACGCAATCTGTACCCATGGGAATTCCGACAGATCATTGCTAGAAGACTTGATCTCCAAAAACTACTTAGATATTGTCAATCAGATACTTAAGCATCTTTTTGATATCAACTTCGGAGTACTTGTATGTACAACCAGAATGTTTTTTAACAAAATAGTTTTGCAAATGAACAATGACAATGTAAGTAAATTAACGAGTTTCATTTTTATTGAAAAAGCAACTGACTATGTCAAAAAGCCTGGACTTTATCGTGGGGCAAGTGTTGTATAAATTATTGAAAAGTCGTACGTTTTAATGCTATCGAATTTAGGAATACTGCGATTTCAAATATTTTAAAAGGTCCTTGGAGTTTCTAAGTATCCACATCTGATTTAAATCACCTCTTGAATTTATTATTATACAGTACTCCCGAAGTTTTTCCTTCACTGCTGTTAGTATTCTAATGAGGAGTAAAGAAAGAGGCTTGATAGAACATTTTCTGGAACCCGTTTTGTATATTTGTAAGGATTTTTTATGTAGTTGAAGAGTCAAGTATAGGTATGGTACATGAGTAACTCAAATTAAATTTTATTGTTGGGAATATTAAAAATATTTAAAACTGACATATCAAGCATAAGATGAATTAAATCCAAGTTCCTCTAAAATACAATTAAAATAATGAGCCTTACAAACATAGACAATGGTGTTACTTGCTTTATCAGATAGGACCAGTACGTAGTGATCAAGTTATCTAGTATCTAAGTCTTTTTCACTTCTGAAAATTTGAAAACAGAAGGATTGATGATATTGCCCCTAAGCCCCTTAATACGAGGAGGACCTTTAATCACTCATTTTAAGAATTTGAGGAAACCCGGATCTTTTAATTGGCGACCGAATTTTAAAAATACTATGAACTCTGTGGTAGATTATGCCGGAGGATGGGTTAAATATAAAGAAGATGACATTGACAAATTGTCAGAATGGGTTAAAAGTATAAGTAAGTATAATGGACGTAAAAATCTTGTATAAAACGATTGGCAATATGAGAATCTTCTAGCTTTCTGTATTTAATAATTCAGAAGATTCTAGTGAATTATCGAGTTCAATATGTACTGGCCTTTGCTGACAAAGCAGATAACAACAGTATTTGTTTGTAAGGATCATTTTTTTTAACTGTATTTTAATTCTAGAGGAACTTGGATATAACAAGAGGTAATCCAATTTATACGTTTAGTTGTTTAGTTCCCATTCTAAGAAGGAAATTCTTCAAATTTATATATCGGTTTTAAATATCTTATATATTCCCAACAAACAAATCTGAATTTGAATTACCATACTTATGTATATTGGATTCCAAAACTTCATAAAAACCCTTATATAACGGGATCAAGCAAGTATATTCTAGCAAGCCTCTTTCCTTACGAAAATTTCAACGACAGTGAAGAAGAAACTTCAGCAGCACTGTGAAACAACACATTTGAGAAGTGTGTTACTCAAATGTTTATACTTAAAAAATTTGAAATCACAAAATTTTACCAAAATCAATAGCATCAAAACGTTTCACTTTTCAACACTTTTTACAGCCATTCCAATGATAAATTAAAGACCAAACTTTTTGAAATCATAAAAAAAAACTGCTTTCTCAATGAAATGGAACTCGTAAATTTGAATCCCTTGCCGTTGGTCATCTGCAAACTTTTTTTTAGCTATAAAACATTCTGATTCTTTACACAAGTACTTCGAGATTGATATGAAAGGACGCTGGAGTTTTTCATCAACAAAATCTAGGTAGGATTTGAAAACCAGGTCTTCCAATAATATGTTTGTATTCTCGTAGGTACTAATTGTTCCCTGTCATAAGCAGACTTTTTTGTATTCAAATGATGCAGAATTTATTCCAAAAACTTTACATGTTCCACATTTAAATATATCGACGACCTCTTTCCCCTTTAAATTAACATTTTCAGTTCATTCTTACGTTGATTCGATTTATCCATTGAACTTGAAATAAAAGACACCACAGAGTCTGACACATCTTTTTATATATTAGGATGTTTTAACAGAGAAAGACATTGATAATATCTAAACTTTATCAGATATGATGATTTCAACTTTATTTCACTAATTCTGTGGTCGACCCAATGACCTTGTTTGCAATTACTTGTAATCTTTCGTTAAGTCAAATGCTGTATGATGTCTTTCATACCTTTTTGTTTACCCAATTCCGATGAACACTAATTGTGCTCCTTTATTCATGTTTATCAGCCAACTTATTTTTATATTATTAGGAAGAAACTAGGTGTTTATGTCTCTTTCTTATTCGATACTAGAGCATTCTCTAAATTTGTTCAAATTTTAGACCGAAGCAATTTACTGAAAAATAAGTTGATGTTACAGGAATTTCAAAAGCCTAGTTGAAAGTCAACATTTCGTAAATTCTATGGTCGTTATAGTAACCCTGTTAGCAAATAAAACCTCTCACTGGGTCAAACTTGACTGATACATTTCATGCCAATTGTTATGTCTTTGTTTCGATACTAAATTTGACTAGGGATCATTCCGTCTACCTGATTAATACATAGGGCTCACGGCGGGTGTGCCTGATCGACAAGAGATACTGACTCCCAGGCACCTGATCTAACTTTTGGAATTTCCAGAGTTTGGTATTTTTCTCTGTTCAGAGATTTGCATTGTTTTTAGGTTTCTTGAGATCGATCACTGTTCATATGTGATAATGGTTTTAATGATTACTGATCATGAGTCCTCACCAAGTAATTTTTTGTCCTGCAAGTCGACCAATTCAAAGTGAACCTTTCCTATATACATGTATGCAAGCATGTTTTTCAGCTGCCTGTGTATAATCATACATGTACTTGATTACAATTTTACAGAAACTATAAAAAAAAAATAATGCCTCTATGTTTCCCTTCCATTACAGATTCTAAAAAAATGTATGACATATTTAGGAGTTTACCATCCTGGCAACTTTATCATGTTTTAGCCGCAGAACAGTAGTGTTATGGTTTTATATTCAAAATATAAAACAATAACAGCTAATCATGTTTACAATTTAAAAAAAAAAACAAGAAGTTAATATATTTGAAGTTTAATTTATTTATTACATTGTCAAAATCGTAATTCAAAGTGTTCCATTATTAATCAGTACTTGGACATAAATATGGAAAGATATCAATAACATAAAACAAAAAAAATGTATATTGAGTAAGCTGAACAAATTACAATGTATGCAAGATAAGAGTAGATTTCATTTCAAAAAAAAATTTTCATTATGTAGGTAACAAAGAAAATAATAAATACTAGTATATAATTTTCAGTATCTTTCCTATTAAACAAAGGGAAGGGAGATTTCTCTATCTACAATATATAGTGGTCTCCACTATACAGTGCTCTAATGGCTTTCCTTTTATGCCCCCCCCCCCCCCCCCACCTTGAAATGATGGTGTATCAAACATTTTCAATTGATATTCGACGAACACAAATGTATATACAGGTAATAGTACTTGATTTTAGAAAGCCAAGTAATGAAATTTAAATACATGTATACAAGTTGTTAAAGCACAAAAATTTAAGGAGTTAACACAATGAACATGGGAGCTAGGGGGGAGGGGAGGCCAAGAAAAATGCTCATTGTCAAACATGACCAGAAGTGGAAAATTAAACCATTCATAACAAAATTTTCTTTGAAATATTAATATTAATGTAAAAATTATACAGGATGCTATAATCCTCTTTGAAATAGAATATTTTCACAGAATTTAACATATTTGACCATTTCTACATACATTATAAGCCAAAGGCATTTCCACTGCTTCATTCCCTGTTCATGGTTGAACACAAAATTCTGAATGATTTCAATTAAAATATTTTACATTCAAAATCAATAAATAACAAGTACAGAGATTTTAAAATCAAAAAAATATATACGGTTCATAAGTTTTCTTGCTGTTGACAGCTGAGTGGTGATGTTTATCTAGTAACATTGGGTACATACTATCCACATTCACAAATACATATATCTGGTTGACAGTTAACTTTCTTCCATTCCAATTGATAAGCAATATTCTACTATTTACATTGCAATTCTGCTATGTACATAAATAGTGTGCGATATGTCCTGGTGCATATGAATACATGAATTATATACAATTGCAAAATTTGAAAGATACAGATGATTGAACAAAATGATTACTCTAAAGATCAGATTCTTTCCCTAAATTTTCTGCTTTTTTTTAGGGGGGGGGGGGGATGAATTATTATTAAAATAATTTATACAGTAAAAACTGTGTAGCCAAATGCCTAGTGTGCAATCCATTCCACTGTCAACTCTGTGTTTATTTTCAGTCCCATTTTCCATATTCTTTTACACTGTGTAATCTGATATCCTGTCTAATCTGGTACAAAATTTGTCTTGAACCAGTGCATGTCAAACATTTGATAGGTTTTACAGGTTTATAACTTTTATCAGTTTGCTTCCTGTAGCAACACTAGATTTCACTGAAAACGTTCTGTTGTTTCCATTGATCAGTCATTGAAATTTTATACTATAAGGTACTCTACTCTCTTAACAAGAGTTAAATGACTGTTCTCAAATATGAATTTTACTACATTAAAAAGAAAAATGAATTTGCACTCAATTTCATTAAGATATTTGAATCCTTATCAATTAAATTTATTCCTGAAGTGTATGCATTTGTTTTTGTTTGTTTCTGTCAAATATTGTATTTTGTTTTGTAATGTAACACAGTCATACTGAATGTACATACATGTATATAAATAACTACAAGGCAAATTACGACATAATTTTTACAAAACAAAGCAAAATATTGTTATCACAGCAAAAATACTGTGTACCAAATTCCTGGTTGTACCCTCATCTGTTACAATCATCATTGTTCTTCACACTATTTTTTTTTTAAATACGTATACATAAATCACATTTCTTCACTTGGTAAATTCTTATCACCTCAGAAACAGAATATAGAATGCCATTAATATGCAAGTCAAAGCCACTGGAACATGAAGTCTAGTACCAATCACAGATGCTGAAAGAGAATTAATTAGAAATTTAAATAAAAAAATCAACAATTCTTTTAAAAACGAAATAATCATTATGGTCAGAGCTTTCTAAAAACATTCAGGTCTACTAAATCCTCTTAGTTTGTTTCATCAATATGATTAAGCATCATACTAGGCTCAGAATAGCTGGTACGCATTTAAGTAATTGTGTGTGTGCAGCATCTGGTACAAAAATTCCCTCAAGTAAACTTAGAAAAAGAACTCTTTTTCAGATTAACAATGAAATGGGGTGAAACATAGACCAAAAATCAAAAGTCGAGAAGATTTTTTTCAGAAAGTACTGATTTTAAAATAATTTAGAAAAAAAAAAAACATTCTAAATATCACACTCAGACTAAATACTTCAATCTGCTGCTGTCTCATTATTTTTGTGAGAGAACAATGATGCAATCTACCACCCCTACTCCTTGTAAGGCAAGCTAGTTAGAATAATCTAACTGTGTCTTGGGACAGGCTGTCACCACAGTTAGAATGCCTCCCATACTCACAATGTAGCAGAAAATTGCAGAATTGCTCTGAACGATTTTGGAGAAAATAAAATGAAAAAATGAAGTTGCATTGAAAATAACTATCAAATTATTCACTTCATAACAAACCTTTTTGCAATAGTGGATACCTTTCACCAGAACTTAATCCAAATAATGGAAGAATTCAACACTTTTTCTCAACATTTTTTTTTTACTCACTTCAAATTTACATGCCATATTGACAGTCAGATTTCAGAACTCTCCAGGTTTTTCATAGTTAATGAACTGACTTAGAGCTCTCGCCCATGTTTGCTTTGCTACATTCCAATACATGGTATGCATTCTATTGTTAACCCAGGTCCGTAGGGTGTCGGGTGGTTACGTTCCGATTCTGTGTTTGACCCGCGTGGTTACGACCCAAGTGGTTTAGACCTACTCTTATATTTATCCCTACAGGTTAGTACCTGAGTACAAGTGTACACACTGCGGTTAACGTCAACATGCAGTCAATAGTAAAGAATTAGATGGTTTCTAACATTTTTATCTACCATCATGGAGCAAGGATGTTGATAAGTTTGATTTTGTTTTAAATTTGAACAGTTTTCCATAAAAAATAATCATATACTTCAAATGCACCATGATCAAATATGCACTGTCTAAACAATGAACGTTTCTCCAAATCCAAATTAAATAAGCAATAATTAAAACTATTTAAATGATTAAAATATAGGTGGTCGATAAAAAAAAAAAACCTTGTAGACGAAAAATAAAAATTAATGTATTTTAACTGTTGAAACTGTTCGTGTCAAAAACACGCGGGGCGAACAAGTAATCGGGATGTAACCACCCGAATTCGTCCATAGGACATTTATCATTTTAACGATAGAAAAATTTATCTAAAGGCTAGCAGGTTATTATTATTAAGGTGCACAGGGACTTATAACATTTATTTGTTTTATTTGAAGTTTTAAACTTTATTTGAAAGCATTATTGCTTTTAAACACCTTTAATCTTCCTTCATTTACCTTTATAAAACACTCCAAGAAAACCCTTTTTCTCTGATAAAAACCACTTCTTCAGTCGGGGAACTCTTCTCATATATGCACAGGTACAAATAACCAACATGCTGAACACAATGATTCCCTCAAATGAATATGCTAAAACAAATACCAAATTAGTGATTATATCATTAACATAAAATGACACGGACAAACACTGATCTATTTTCGCTTCCTTTTATTCCACACTTGAATCTTTATAAATTGCCTAATTTCTGAGTGATTTTTTTTCTATAATTAAATGACAACGATAACTGATGTTCAGATTTATTATATTTTTCAGCTTACCGTTTGTCATTTTGAGTTGTCAGAACCCTACAAATAAAGTGGTATGCAGATTCGGACACAATCAACAAACTCTACCGTGGCATTTTCTCAAAGCGGAAATAAAACTATTTCGCTAAAATTAGAACTGAGCGGTACAAATAAATATATTCCGGTTGAGAAATACAGAGACAAGAATTATCATATTGATTAGAAAGGGAGTTAGTACTGTGTCAGTTTAACTTTCTAAAAATAAATAGATAAATAAAAGAATAAATAAATGAATGAATGAATGAATAAATAAATAAATGAATAAATAAATAAATAAATAAATAAATAAATAAATAAATAAATAAATAAATAAATAAATAAATAAATAAATAAATAAATAAATAAAAATAATAAATAAATAAAAATAAACAGGCAAACAATCTTTTTATGAAATTAACTAAAGCTTGTCTAGTCAAAGCCATCTCTTCGAAGCTGTTGGAATGAGTGTTGCTGAAGAGAGACGGTTTGGAAAAAGCAACACATCTTTATGTAAAATGCATTCTGGATTCTTTTCAAAGTTATTCTGGAACCTTTTCCTAATTACACGAATTCATGCATTATACTTTATGCATTGTTTCACCGTACTTTGAGTCCAAAATTTGTTTTCTGATGTAATACTGAGGAAACATCATTGTTCGTGGGGGGGGGGGGGGGCAATGATCGTGAATTTCGTGGGTCACCCTCACCCACGAATTTACATCCCCACGAACGTTTACTTTGTAAGCATATTGATTCATTGAATCTACCGCATAAACGATTAACCCACGAAGTTACACCTCCCACGAACAAGTAAAATTTTGCGTGTCCACGAGTTAATGTTCATACATTGAGATTGAATGATTCACGTTACATATATGAACAAATCATATGGATTTCTCGTCATTTTAATTACAATGAATTATTTGAAAAGTAATCGGGTAAATCTCTGGAAGTATATATTCAATCTTTTCTTTTTTCTGACCAATGTACATGTATAAAGAGAAATTATCTTCAATTACTATAGTTCTTTCTAAAATTAAAAAATAAATAAATAAATAAATAAATAAATCTCTGTCCAGAATTTTCGTGCCGTGGTACTTCCCATTCATTCCCATGCCATTCATTGTCATTCAATTCATTACACGGGATTAATATTCACCACCATGAAAAGGATATATATAGGATCTCCCATGATTTGTAGTTGGATATGATTTTTATCCAACGAGTTGTGTGTTTTTTATCCCCGAGCCGTGGCGAGGGGATAAAAACACACAACGAGTTGGATAAAAGTCATATCCAACTACAAATCATGGGAGATTCTTTTTATCCCATGTTTAATACTTCACAACCAATGTTTTACACTGTTTTATATAGGACTCCACTTTATTTTACTTCATCGCGCTAACGCAAAAACCATTGTGACGTCACAACTGTGGATTATGAAAAAATTATCCAATGAGTCATATCCACGGGATAAAGGGGTAAACATGGGATAAACCTATTTATAATAGAGATAAATGCAATCATGTTTATATTCTGAGATATTCTTCATTTTTTTCCTTTTCTTTTTAAAGAAGTAATAGTACCCTCCCCCCCCCCCCAAACCCCCCAAAAAATGTGAAGCCAGAAAACAACTGCTTGAAAAAAACTTTTAACAAGGAGAAAAAAAATAATGCTAACTGTCCGAACGCAAAAAAAAAAAAGAAAAAAAAAAGATGTGTTTGTAAAACACTGATGCCCCCGTATGGCAACTTATAGAGAAGGTTAAACTTTAAACTTTCTCAAATGCAAACCAAATATATTGGTACCCAAAGTGAGTTCTTTTTTCCCGAGGAATATACCTGTGAAATATGAAAGCTCTAGCAGCAACCATTAAAAAGATATGGAAAAGGTTAAAAAAATTTCAAAGGTAAGTCAAACATCAAGGTCAAATGGTCAAAATTAATGGTGCGTGGCTAAGGAAAGGCCATCTCACAAGAAATACACATGTGAAATATGAAAGCGCTAGCACCAACCGTTCAAAAGATATGACCAAGAATAAAGTTTCTGAAATCTAGGTCAAACTCCTAGGTCAAGGTCAAAGGGTCAGAGTCGTTGGTAACCAAAAGAAGGACTTGTCACAAAAATTACGCATGTGAAGTATGAAAGCCCTTGCACCAAATGTTCAAAAGTTATGGCCAAGGTTAAAGTTTCTCAAAAGTAGGTCCAACTCTTAAGTCAAGGTCAAAAGGTCAAATATGATGGTACACAAAGAAAGGTTTTGTCACAAGAAATACACATGTGAAAAAATGAAAGCCATATCTTTAACCAATCAATAGTTATGGTCAATGTTAAAGTTTTTGTGGACAAACAGAAGCCTTTATAAAAGCAAACATGCAAAGTGTACTATTGTAAATTATGAAACTAAAACTAGAATTAAGTTTATAAACCGTTGATTATCTGATGTTAATGCTTTCATAAAAGAAAAAAAATTAAATCAAAAGATTGCCAGCAATAAAAAAAATTGTCACTCAAGCATTAAAAGCAAATAATATAGTGAAAAGAATCAAATAAAATAATATGATCACATGAATTTACTGTCTACTCCATATACCTGTATGTTTCAAACATTCATCAAATTCATCTGACATGCAATTCAGTGCAAAGCACCTTTTTTTTTTAACTTTCTATGTTAACAAATAAAAGTATTCCAAAAATGGATAGCACCATAAAAATTAATGGAAGAAATCTGGGGACAATTACTTATGATAAATTCACAGATAGACAGACGAACAACAAAACGACAAAACAAACAAACAAAATAAAAAACAAAAACAAAACAAAACCAAAAAAAATCTTAAAGTTATTTGGTATGTGTGACACTGCATGTGTGTGTGTGCATGGAGAGGTTTGGGTGAGGGTCCTATCTCTTTTCGACATAAAACAAGTGGGCAACGGACTGTTAAGTGAAAATATCCACATTGAATTAACAATGAACAGAGTTTCCTTTGGAAAAAATGGGGATCCAGCACCCCTCCCCCTCCCGATACTTCATCTCTGCAGAAATGGCTTTGTTCTTTATTGTGATTTTTCATATTTATCTGAGAATACATCTATAGTGGTTGGTACATCATTTTTTTTAATAAATATTTTTTAAACTTCGGGAGCGATCCCCTCTGATCCATTTTTGCAAACACTTCAGAGAATTTTGTAAATTGATCGTTGTCCTGCAAAATAGATCGATCATATGCATGCGTGCATGACAATTCTGGTATTTTAAATTTTCATTTAAAAGTTTTGCTTGCACACACTAAACGATTATAAAATCTGTGTCGACAAAGTAAACAGAACAGAAACAGCAGAAAACGTAAGTGACCGCGCTTGTCTTTTTGAATTTCATGTTTCAGTGCCTTATACAATTATTATATAAAAGGAATATATCATATAATCTAAATCTGAACGAAAGAAAAAATATATAAGTAAAGTTATTTATATAGATTTATTTCGATCGCATTTTACCAAAAAAAAAGTCTTACAAGTATAAATTCAGTATCATTCTTAGCAAATCTAATTGTGACAGAACTGTTTTATTTTAACCAACACCACACGATATAAAACTACTTAGTTCAATTTAGACTTAACTTATATTGCTATTTCATTTTTTTTACTTTCTTCCCAAGTTGTTTGTGTGTGTGGGGAGGGGGGGGGGGTTCAAAAAATATAACAAGGAAGGAATTTATTTAAAGAAATAATACTTACTATAATAAATTCACGGTGTGTATTGGATATACAATGTAAATTTTATATATTTTAAATAGGATGTAATGTCCAAGGTCTGAAATGATCATTCAAAACGTTTAAAGGCGTCTATATGTTGACCTTGAAATCTCATTCCTGTGTACATGCATGATGCAATCATATAGGTCACACACACACACACACACACACACCCTCCCTCACACACACACACACACACACACACACACACACACACACACATATATATATATATATATATATATATATATATATATATATATATATATATATATATATATATATATATATATATATATATATATATATATATATATATATATATATATATACCCTATACTTCTAACAGAATATACATATAGACCAAGCAAACGTTGTTTAAATAGATTACAAGATTACAATTATATAATGTGCACTTCTGATCAGATGATAAAATTGATATATAAAGTTACATAGGCGTCGGAAGCAAAATGAAAGTGGGGGGGGGGGCTAAACCAACAAAAACACTTTTGGGGGGCTATGCTCCCATTTTCAATGCCTATATTATGTCTATCTTTGCAAAAAATGGGGGGGGGGGGGACTTAGCCCCCCCCCCCCGGTTCCGACGCCTATGGGTTTAATTTTCTAATAATATACTAGTATTACATGTTCTTGTACTGCTGACTAGAATTTGTTTACTCTGTAATATTTTACTTTGTTCTCATGTACCATAAGTTTAAAGTGGTTTTGAAAGAATTTATGAATGAACTTTATTTAAACAAACCTCATGAGAAAGGCACTTAAAAAGAAATTAAAACAAAAATTTTCAAAGTGTGATATAGGTCAAAGCTATAGCAAATTTTTTGCCTCCCTTGAAATTCGTGATATTTTTGTAAACGTTTCCATGCATGTGAAATATCATTTGAGGCCCGGCCGGTATATGATTGGGACAAAAACACGTGTATATTATTGGCAGACGACTATCAAATATTTATTATAACTAATTTGCGATGATAATATCTACATGTACATCATATACATGTATATATGGAAATAGTTTTATTTAAATAAAATTTAAGAGCCATTCTCTTTAAGCACTTTAAATGGCATGAGGTATGATCATGAATTTTCTTGAAAGTTCAAACATATACATTAGCCCTCATCCTTCAAGGTTAAATTAATAATTATTTGGTTGCTATGGATTCATGTGTCCATATGGCAAGGGGTCTTAAAGTTGAAAAATGAGTTTTGTTTTTCTTCTTCTTGTATTTAAATTGAATTTTATTGCTAAAACCACTAAAAAGTGTGGGGAATTATCCAAAAAGGCATGTTTCTCATGAAACAAAATGTTGTGATGATATCTACTATAATGGATTTTCTCTCATCAGAGCCAGCAATTTTTTTTTCATTTTTTTCTTTTTTTCTTTTTTTTTTTTTTTTTAATTTTATATCTTAACCTTATTTCACTTTTGTATGTTTACTAAAGAATTCTGTCAATTTGGCACCAAATTTAAATGTTAAAATGATTTTAGACTGTAATACATTCAAATAATTCTTTGTTTTTTTGTCCCTACAGCTTTCCAAATACAGAGAATTTACACTTATCCGCCCTTAATTAGGTATGCATGAGAGGTGCATGGGGCTAATTAACATTGTAAGAATGGCTCTAAAAATAGACTAGATAAATAACAATGACATGTTTAAAAATATACGTGATCACTTTTTCCCATCTCTCTCTTTATCCTGTATGGCACAAGTACACTATTTACCAAGGTTTCAAAACGAAATTAACAATATGAGCACGTAATATTTAAATCGATGCCTGACAATTCAACGTGTTCGAGAACAGTGTCCTATTTAGCACAAAACATGCTATCTTACAAGTCACGTGACGGAATTTAGTATTCACAGAGTTACCTGAGGTAAGAAATCACGTGGTGAATTATAATATTCAATATGCCATTGCCCTTGGTTACAACAGAGAGAGCAAATGTAAGAAGAAGCAGATTTTTTTTCTCTTTTAAACCATGAGCGCATGTTTGTCTATATTAATCTCCTTTTGACACAACATTATTAATGCAAATATACAACTACTGTTAAACGAAGAACAATAGACAAACATGTGCTTACTATGTATAAAATCAGTGAAAAAGTGGGCGTCCTCGTTATCGTACGGCGTGCGCCCCCCCCCCCCCGTTTGATTTTTTTAAAAAAATTTGTTGTATTATCCTAAAATCAAGGGAAAACACCTCTTATTTGTTAGAATTCGTCAGCACCAGGGCTTTACCCAGGACCCTCTAGGGGCTTCAATGCAGCCCCCATACCCCCCTGCCTTCTACTGCCCCCCCCCCCCCCCCCCGTTATGAAATTACTGGATCCGCCACAGGAGATTCAAGAAATTGTGATAACCCCTGCCTTTGATAACAGCTTCGTACTTCGTAAATACACACTTTTATTTAATGTAATTACGTAAAGTTGTAGATTAGATGTTGACCATTCCTGCAATTAAAAGAAAAATTCTTGTTTTCAAAGTTTAATTTGTCGCAATTTTCGTATGTCCTTAAAGTGCAGTCATATCCTTTACAATTTCGCAATTTAATGAAATTATATACTGTATACATATAACTACAAATGAAAATAAATTCAAGCATATCAAAGAAAAAAAATTGAACATAGCTAAGTTTGCGCAAGATATCTTGTACTATATGTTTGTTCATATTGTAAGATTTAAAAATCTTTATATCCGGAAAAAAACTGTCTACAATGATGGTTTTAGTTTATAACTTAAAAACTTCCGGTACACATGTTTTTTACCGGTACGAACTGATGCAACATTTGTGAAAGTATTCTTCAGTTGTCTGGCTTTGCGATGGTCTATTTTTCGTAAAATTCTAAGAATTATCAGGTTTGTATTCTGTAAAAATAATCAGACTTTTTAAAAGTTTGAAAAAGGTAATGTTTCCGTGTATCCGTATCTGACAATGGTCACAGCAGTGACATTAAAGGCATTTATCCCTAAAGCATTTACTTTCACTTTGATCATTTTTATTTGTTTTTTTTTTAAATTTTATTTTAATATCCTAAGTTAATTATTCTTAGATTGTGTATAACACCTTCATTATATTCGGATAAAGTCATACATGTACAGGGTTAAGGCCGAGGTGTCGTTGGGCCGAGGTGTCTGACATTCATAAAATAGCAGGGGACATTAAAAAAAGTAGGAGGGGGTCTAGGGTTCCTGGCATTATCCTGTTATTTGACGTTATTGACGTTATTGGCGTTAAAAAAATTTATAATATGATATAATATACTATAATGTTTTTTCTTTAAATTCCAATTGCATTTATTCCGTTATAGGCCTATGTGATTTTTTTTAGAAATTACCTTATTTTGAATGGCAACTGACTTGTGACTAAGTGGTTGGTATATATATATATATATATATATATATATATATCATAAAACTTTTCAATAATTGTAACATGATTCAAAGAAGTTTTAGATGATGTATGACTCGATTGTAAGGCACGGTATAAACATTTTTAAATATAACAAAGTTTAATATTGTTCGCTTCCGTTTCCATGCACTAGTACCTTACGTATATATTTTTTTCTCTCCGAAGTAAATTTATAACGGAATAAATGTATTGATTGAAAATGGGAAGAATTACTTTATTCCGTTATAAATAAATTGGGGGGATATGAAAAGTAGAGATGGTATCTTGATTGTGCTAATAATTATTGTAATGTACCATTTATTCCGTAATTATTGTATAAATTATTTTTTCTGACAAAAAATTTATACTCGGAATAAAACTATTGATGAAAAATGGTATGAATTCAAAAGATGTACTTTATTCCGTTATAAATAAATTTAAAAATGAAAGGAGGGTGTATGATTGTCCTAATAATTGCTGGAAGGTAACAATGCATAAATTTTATTCTCTCCGAGGTAAATTTATAACGGAATAAATGTATTGATGAAGAATTGTATGAATTCATAAGATGCACTTTATTCCGTTAAAGAATTTGAAAAAAGGAGGGAGGAGGTAGGGGATTGTGCTAGTAATTGCTGGAATGTTCCATTTATTCAATAATTAGTGTCTAATTCTTTTCTATATCCGAGGTATATTTATAACGGAATAAATGTATTGATGAAAAATTGTATGAATTCATAAGATGCACTTTATTCGTTAAAGAATTTGAGAAAAAAGGAGGGAGGAGGTAGGGGATTGTGCTGATAATTGCTGGAATGTTCCATTTATTCAATAATTAATGTATAATTTCTTTTCTATTTCCGAAGTAAATTTTTAACGGAGTAAATGTTTTTATGTAAAGTGGTGTGAATTTAAAAGATGTACTTTATTCTGTTACAAAATATGAGAGAAAAAAATTGAAAAAGGGGACTGATTGTCCTATAATAATGGTAGAATGTAACATTTATTCCTTTATTAATTTATCTATTATTTCTTTCTCTGCGAGGTATAACTTTATTTGTATTGAAGGAATACACCTTTTAACCCGTTATAGGCAAAAAAGAATTTTCTCCATAATTAATTTAACGGAATAATTGCAATGCATTAAGATTAACAGTAAATGCACATTTACATAATTTTCTTAATATGGAAAGGGGGATCTTTTGCCACATATTGCTGTTGTTTAGAAACGGAATAAGTGTACTTATTCTAATTAAGCTTTTTAAGGCAATAGAAGTAACGTAAAAGTCATGTTTTCTTTCCTTATATTAAAAGGGAAGCGTATTTAAAGTTCATAAAATTACAATTTATTACATAATACAGGTAATATGTACTTTTACAGTTTTTGAGTAGTATTCTCGTTTAATCCGTTTAATATCAATGGTCGTTATTTCCATTATTTGATTTCTGCACGGATTTGAATGTATTCCAGAACAGGTGAGGAATAAAAGGCCTTTGTTAGTGACCTGACACTGTAAAGAAGTCCCGAACACTACCTTTTATAGAAGACATTGAATTGAATGAGTCGCTAATCATGATGCTCTACTACATGTTTTTAAAAATACTTAATTCACTACAAGAGAAACATAATTTTTTTTCCTTCATCATATCTTTATTTTGTAAAATTCTCTCTGTGTATAATACTCCTAGTATTAGAATCGCGATTCTAATAAGTTTTGAGGTATATAAATGTGTCTCGTCTCTCTATATATACTCCTGTTATTGGCATCGCGGTGCTAATAAGTTTACAGGTATATAAATGTGTCTCGTCTCTCTATATATACTCCTGTTATTAGCATCGCGATGCTTATAAGTTTTGGACATTTTAACTTAGTAAGATGTGTCATTTTTAGAGTGATACCCCCAAAAAATCCAAGCCCCATTTTTTCTGATGAAATCCCCCAAAGAAACCCTTTTCCCAGGAATACTTCCCTTTGAGGAGCTTATAATCTTGATATTTGGAAACGTCGTCTCTCTATATATATACTCCTGTTATTAGCATCGCGATGCTAATAAGTTTTAAGGTATATAAATGTGTCTCGTCTCTCTATATATACTCCTGTTATTGGCATCGCGATGCTAATAAGTTTACATATATGTAAATGTGTCTCGTCTCTCTATATATACTCCTGTTATTAGCATCGCGACGCTAATAAGTTTTGGGCATTTTAACTTAGTAAGATGTGCCATTTTTAGAGCGATACCCCCCAAAAACTCCAAGCCCCATTTCTTCTGATGAAATCCCCCAAAGAAACCCTTTTCCCGGGAATACTTCCCTGTGTGGAGCTTATAATCTTGATATTTGGAAACGTCGTCCCTCTATATATATACTCCTGTTAATAGCATCGCGATGCTAATACGTTTTGAGGTATTTATGTGAATGTCGTCTCTCTATATGTACTCCTGTTATTAGCATCGCGATGCTAATAAGTTCTGGGCATTTTAACTTAGTAAGATGTGCCATTTTAGAGTGATACCCCCCCAAAAACTCCAAGCCCCACTTTTTCTGATGAAATCCCCCAAAGAAACCCTTTTCCCGGGAATACTTCCCTGTGTGGAGCTTATAATCTTGATATTTGGAAACGTCGTCCCTCTTTTCATACTCCTGTTATTAGCATCGCGATGCTAATAAGTTTACAGGTATATAAATGTGTTTAGTCTCTCTATATATATACTCCTGTTATTGGCATCGCGATGCTAATAAGTTTTGAGGTATATAAATGTGTCTCGTCTCTATATATATACTCCTGTTATTGGCATCGCGATGCTAATAAGTTTACAGGTATATAAATGTTTCTCGTCTCTCTATATATACTCCTGTTATTAGCATCACGATGCTAATAAGTTTTGGGCATTTTAACTTAGTAAGATGTGCCATTTTTTGAGCGATACCCCCCAAAAACTCCAAGCCCCATTTCTTCTGATGAAATCCCCCAAAGAAACCCTTTTCCCGGGAATACTTCCCTGTGTGGAGCTTATAATCTTGATATTTGGAAACGTCGTCTCTCTATATATACTCCTGTTATTAGCATCGCGATGCTAATAAGTTTACAGGTATATAAATGTGTTTAGTCTCTCTATATATACTCCTGTTATTAGCATCGCGATGCTAATAAGTTACAGGTATATAAATGTGAATGTCGTCTCTCTATATATACTCCTGTTATTGGCATCGCGATGCTAATAAGTTACAGGTATATAAATGTGTCTCGTCTCTCTATATATACTCCTGTTATTGGCATCGCGATGCTAATAAGTCTTGAGGTATATAAATGTGTCTTGTCTCTATATATATACTCCTGTTATTGGCATCGCGATGCTAATAAGTTTAATTTACAGGTATGTAAGAATGTCTCGTCTCTCTATATATACTCCTGTTATTAGCATCGCGATTACAAGTTTATTATTTATTTTTATCTAAATTTTATTTTCAACCATTTAAGATCATTAAATATTTATATTTAACAACTTTTAACGCTTCTGACGTTACGTTAAAAAACGTCAATAATTATTAGCATCGTGATGCTAATAACAGGATTATGCCGGGTTCCTTCCTTATCAGGGTGATGAGGGGGAATACCAGAGTAGCAGGGGGACTACATCATTATTGCCGGGGAAATTCCCCGGTCCTCGGGTTTTAGGGTCTACCCTGCATGTAGTTCAGTTGGTAGAACATTGTCTAGAGTTCAGGGGGCGCTGGGTGTGAATCGTAGCTGGTTCCTTCACATATCTCCCTTCCTGCTACAAAAGCACATTGAGGAATTTATGAGCAATAACTACTAATTTATTTTTTGTAGTGACAAATACCTGAAATGGCACAGCCTGTACCTTCCACAAATATAAGTTTTCCAGATGAGGAGGAAAAAGTCCTTAAGTACTGGAAAGAGATTGATGCCTTTCGTACATCATTAAAGCAGTCAAAAGGGAAACCAAGGTTAGTGAAATAAAATACTTGTTAAAATCAAGATTTAATTTTTATATACACCCTCTGTGGGGACTTAGGAGAACTTTTATCCGAGAAGTCATATTCAGAAACAAAATTATGTTCAAAGCTCTGGGTACTTCAACTTCTAATTTGATTTGAAACCCAGGGTTCTTAACTGAACTTAGATATAGTTTTTATTTCCAAATAAAATTGATCCTTTTTAGCACAGACAATTGATGAAAAAATAATTATTACAGGTACACATTTTATGATGGACCACCATTTGCCACTGGACTGCCTCATTATGGACACATCCTAGCAGGAACAATAAAGGACGTAGTTACCCGCTGGGCTCACCAGACGGGTTTCCATGTGGAGAGAAGGTTTGGATGGGATTGTCATGGTCTCCCAGTGGTAAGTATTTATCCTTAACTCCAGACTTTAATTGATATTAAAAATAATTTTTGATTTTATATCATGATATGTAGTTGTGATTTTTTGGGTACATATGTACATGTTCTTCTCATAGCATTGATCTTTTACTTTTCTTTTATGTTTTTTTTTGTTATAGTAATACTCTTTTAAATGTTGGAATGCTTAATTTCTTTCTGTATCATGTGTATAATTCATAGGAATACGAGATTGACAAAACATTAGGGATCAAGGGGCCAGAAGATGTGGAGAAAATGGGAATAGCAGCTTACAATGCTGAATGTCGCAAAATTGTCATGAGGTATTCTGCGGAGTGGGAGGTGAGATATAATCAAATATATAAAAAAAAACAAGCTAGATATATGCAACCCCCCCCCCCTCCCCGTACAACAAATTGGTACCAGTATACTGTACTTTGATGGTCATTGCAGGAGATTGTTACCCGCCTTGGACGCTGGATTGACTTTGAGAATGACTACAAAACAATGTATCCTACATTTATGGAGAGTATTTGGTGGGTGTTTAAGGAGCTGTACAACAGGGGACTAGTTTATAAAGGGTCAAAGGTCATGCCCTTTTCCACTGCCTGCAACACCCCTTTGTCAAACTTTGAGTCCGGACAGAATTACAAGGATGTGGTGGATCCAGCAGGTATTTATAGCAACTATTAAAGACTATGAAATCTCTCATTTTCATGGAGGTTTAATTTTTCTCGTTCTTTTCATAGTATGAAGAGACCAACGAATTCATGTCCTCCACGAAATGTTAAATTTTCATACAACATTACCATGCTTCCATTTCAACCACAAAATCAAATCCTCTCAAACCAATGTTTTTTCCTCAAACCATGAAAATTTGACCCCATGAAAATAAGTGATTTTACAGTAACAAAAAGCAAAGTTGAAAGAACTCTGCATGCATGTATTTGACACCAAGTGTACTGAAACTGAATTTGTTATCTGATTAAAAAAAAACAACTTTTTATATACAAATTCTGTAAATTCTGTTTTAACAATTAAATTTTATTTTAAAGTTATTGTAAACTTTCCCCTTCTTGATGAGCCCAATGTTGCTGTTATTGCCTGGACAACAACACCTTGGACATTGCCCAGCAACTTGGCTGTATGTGTGAATCCAGAAATGGTTTATGTAAGAGTGAAAGGTACATGCAATGGGAATGAAAGCACAAATTTACTATTAGAAATCCTTTTTCATCATGGATATATAGAGGAGACAAGAATTATACATGTATTATATTGAGAGTGAACATTCTAGCAAAATTGTGAAATTTTGTCATCAAGGCTGTGCTCCTCAAGTATCGTATTTAGAAATTGCACTATACATTCTCAATGCAGTGCATTTGCTGTTATAGACAAATGTATAAGTTGTTTGCTCTTAGTGTGAATACTAAATTGACATCCTCCTTAATGCATGTCATATATGTCCATCTTTTTCCAAGGATAGGGTTAAGTATCTAACTGATAATTTCATGGTTTTTTTCACAGATAATGCCACAGGGAAGGTGTACATTATGATGGAAGCTAGACTGGATGCTTTGTTCAAGAAAGAAGATGAATATACAGTCTTGGAAAAGTAAGATATATATCAGTAAAAATGTGACAGCTAGATCTACAGTTTAGAAAGTAAAAGAGAACACTTGTGCTGAAAAATTTAATGAAGAGCTGTTTTGTCTTAGCTTTACAAGCATTTATTTTTGGAAAGAGACTCATAGAGGTAGCAGTTGTGTATTTGTTAGTCTGGACATGTGTTCCTGTTATCCATGTTAAAGAATTAGGCAGCTTAAAATAATTTGAAAAGTCAGTATATTAACACATCATTATTTTCACAGATTTAAAGGAAAGACACTGGAAGGCAAAAGATATGAACCAATTTTCCCATACTTTAAATATGTAAGTCTACATTCCATTGCATATATTTTCTGTGAAGATTCAATCTTGATAGTATCAATATGTAATACTGTATACAATTTTATTTTTGCACCATGTAATTTTTGTCCTCTTTCACTTTTCAAATAATTTTGCCCCATTTTAAATTTGCCTAGACACAGAGCATTATGTAACAGAGATAATGCTGTTTTCTTTGCCTGCATTTTAAATTTGCCCACTTTTGATGAGAGCAAAAGAATTAAAAATAAAATGGGTGTGAAAGTTTCCCTATATACAGTAAATTATTTTGAGGTAAAGAATATTTATTTACTGGAATTAATTATGATTTGAGTTTTAGAAAAGTGATTTCATTGTAGATGAGAGAGAAGACTGACGCCTTTCGCATTCTTATGGATGACTACGTTACAGCTGAGAGTGGTACAGGTGTTGTCCATCAATCACCATACTTTGGAGAGGTACCTTTATCTGTGTCATACATATATTTAAAATTATTCTGTCCAAAAACAAAAGTAAATACCATTTAATGGAACTTTATTAACAATGAACCAATAAGTAGGGTATAGTAAATAAATTATATTGATATCCATTGTACATTATTTGAAAACTTATAAGGGTTATTGTAATTGTTCAGAGGGTACATTGTTATTTAGATTAATTTTAAGCTTCTGTTTTTGTGTGCCTGTATGTCCACAGTTGCAATTTTGGTCAGAGCTATTGAAATATGAAACAGACACTATGTTTTATTTACTGAAAGTCAAATTTCTTACAAATATCAAAGTTACCTGTAGAGGTGAAAGGTTATATAAATAGAACCATAGGAATTACTAATGAAATGGTGTATAACAAACATATTTAGACTTTTTTTCTTAAGTTTTTTTTTTTTAATGCTATTTTGTCCTCTAGGATGATTATCGCGTGTGTATGAGATATGGTGTCATCACCCGAGACATGAAAATCATCTGTCCTGTTGATGCATCAGGAAAGTTCACAGAGGAGGTCACAGATTTCAAAGGCCAATATGTCAAGGTTGATTACTTTTATTTTATATAATTATAAACTTTACTAATGTAATTATAAAGAGTAAAACCTTGAATTTATATACATGTACATGATTGTATTTTATTCCTTTATCTGCATGATTTCTTATTACTTCATGAGATGCACTGATTGCAAGTTCATAAATTTTGCTTGAAATTGTAAATACCTATACATGTATCAAAATGGTCAAAGACTTTAATTTGAAGCTTGTTGTTCTTGTGTTGTAGGATGCAGACAAAGCAATAGTGAAAAACCTGAAGCAGAGGGCACGTTTAGTGCATCAGTCCACATTTAAGCATAGCTATCCATTTTGTTGGAGGTAAGTTTATATTTACTCAGATATTGACTTTGTTTCTTTATACTTTTTGGAATTCATTTTTTAGAAAGATGAATTTGATGTCCTCTGTGTTTTAAATTTAAATTGTACCTCTTAATATGAACTGCTTGTCATAATTACTAATTTGAAATAACTTTTATACTTGTAGATTTGAAATTAAATACTTTAGTTATGTTTAATGTAATGTGTAATATACAAGCATGAACTCTGAATTTGTTTAATCAGGTCAGAGACTCCATTGATCTACAAAGCTGTGCCCAGCTGGTTTGTGAGAGTAGAACAGGCAACAACACAACTACTAGAAAACAACCAGAAAACCTACTGGTAGTTTATCATGTTTATGACCTTTCTATTTTTCACTGAAATGAAAATACTTACTAACTTGTATACAATATGACTTTACTACTTTGTGGATTAGTGAAATGATCATTCTTTAGTTGGACTGGTTTGTACAACAAATGATGATTCAGAAATTTTAATAAGGTAGTTTTATTCCTGATTTGAAGGATTAAAATAAATTAAGAAGAAGAAATATTATTTCCTTATTTTTAAGGGTGCCAGACTTCGTGAAGGAAAAGAGGTTTGCTAATTGGCTGCGAGAAGCCCGTGATTGGGCGATATCACGTAACAGGTACTGGGGGACACCTATGCCCCTCTGGATCAGTGAGGATGGGGAGGAGGTACGAATCAATACAGAATTTCTTTTCTTTTTTTCTTTTTTTTTTAATCTTCAGTTAGAAACTTTAAAAAAATCAGTGATTTGTCAGGACAGTTAATTTATGGCATGAAAATTCTTCTGATAGCCGGTTTTAAAGACTCAATAATTAGGCAAAACCGTTACTGGTAAAGATACCTTTTTCAAAAAAAAATGGTAAGAGGATTTTTAAATGCTCAGAAGTCAAAAATAAATCATTTCATTGTTCCTTTGTACATTTTTTTTTTAAAGAACTATGATATATTTTGTTATGTGAATTCCAGGTTGTGTGTGTTGGGTCTGTGGAAGAACTGAAGAAGTTGTCGGGTGTCGAAGTCAAGGACCTCCACAGAGAATCGTAAGGGATTTCAGCATTCAATTAATGACATAAATAAACTGTGGACACTCTAATCAAGCAATATCAATGATTAGTTAAAGATTACCATCTATAGAGAACAAGTGTTAACTCTTGTGAAAAGTTAGAACAGTGATTCATTCCGATTGAAAGGAAATGGAAAAAAATGAATTATATTTTGTTTTATGAGAATAAAAATTAACCTGAACATTAATTGAAGTAAAATTTATATATGTAGATGGTATCTGAGAATTTAAACATAAAAATTCATGTGATCTGATTCAAACACAATAAAAATTTAATCTCAGAGTGGATGATATCACCATTCCATCAAAGCTGGGAAAAGGAGTTTTGAGACGCACCCCTGAAGTGTTTGACTGCTGGTTTGAGAGTGGGAGCATGCCCTACGCCCAAGTACATTATCCGTTTGAGAGAAAGAAGGAGTTTGATGATGCATTTCCTGCTGACTTTATTGCTGAAGGAATAGACCAGACCAGGGGATGGTAATCAGTTATATTCAGTTTTCATGCATCTTGCAGTTTAATATACATGTACTTTGTAAATTAGGTGAAACACGCTTATAACAAAGTGCCAGGGATGGACAATTTTGCCGCGTTATAAAAGTGATTCGTTATATCTTTTAAATTCGTGATATATTTTGAAGCCATGGGGAATGAAAATCACTTCACTGTAAGCATCTATTTGTTATTAGCATGTTCGCTGTAAGCATGTTTTTACGTAATATGGAAACAATAACATTATTATGTTGAAACGAGGTTATTTACTGCAACAACAGTTTTTTTTTTAAATTTTCAAATTCCCTAAAAACTATTTTTTCTCTTTTCTAGGTTCTATACCTTGCTTGTTCTCTCCACTCTTCTGTTTGGGAAGCCGCCATTCAAGAATCTCATTGTTAACGGAATAGTGTTGGCTGAGTAAGTCAACTTATAGGATAAAAGTCCCAAAAACTCTGGGATACATTGCACATACATATAATTAAATTAAAAACATTGTAAAAGTAGATGACGAAAAATATATACTTTTTAAAAAATATATATTCTTGTACTGATATGAACATTGTAAAATTCAGGGATGGAAATAAGATGAGCAAAAGACTGAAGAATTACCCAGATCCAATGCTGATTGTCCACAAATATGGTGCTGATGCACTCAGGTAAGATTTAAATGGGAAATGTTAGGGACTCTAGTATTCTCTTTTTCATTGAAAAAGAGGTATACATGTATGTTATAAAGCATATGTTTGTTTAAAAAAGTCAAAGTATTAAACTGCAGGTGTACTTATTTAGCCAATATGAAATATAAGTACATCTGTAGATCATGGATTAATTAGGGCCCCGCAAGGATTTGCGGGTGCCCTATAGTAAACACTCTGTCTGTCTGTCTGTCCATCTGTCATTTTTCTGTCCACAAATTTTCTGTTTTTTTCTAATAACTTTTTTTAGGGTTGATTCACTTCCGGTTCCAAGTTATGGACATTTTTCTGATTTTAAAATGAAATTTTGTCGCCCTTTTTTTTCAAAAATGGTAAAAGTTATGAACTGGAGACTTGTTAGAGAGTATATGGCATGTCTTTTAGATATGCGGAATCTCCTTTTTGTGCGTCGTTATTACTTCCGGTCGCTACTGGAAGCGAATTAAAAAATCATTTTTTTTCAACTTTTTTGTTTCTCAATATTTTTCTATGATTTCAGTAGGGATAATAGAGATGCTTATCGAAATATGTTATATGTAATTGATTTTAAATATTTCCACTGGAAGTAGTTTTAAAAATAGATTTTTTTCGATGAATTTTGTGCACAAAATATCTTGAGAACTATTCAGTGGATTTTCATCAAACTTTTAGTGATAATGCGCTGTAAAATGTCGTTGTTACACTTGAAAAAAGTTTTGAAAAATTCGCTTCCTTTTCCAAGTTATGGACATTTTTCTGATTTTAAAATGAAATTTTGTCGCCCCTTTTTTTCAAAAATGGTAAAAGATATGAACTGAAGACTTGTTAGAGATGATAGATGCTGGCTTTTAAATGTGCGGAATCACTTTTTCGTGTGTCATAATTACTTCCGGTTGCTACGGGAAGCGAATATAAAAAGTCGTATTTTTCAACTTTTTTGTTTTAATTTGAATATTTTTTGATAATATTTGGATGGTTATTCAGACAGAAGACCTCTCGTTGCTCGCAACGAGTATCTAGTTTTTATTATTATTTTTTTTTTCTTTTTCTTTTTTCTTTAATTTTTTCTGCCTTATGTAAATTCAAGAATACTATTTGTTTTAACTGGTATTCAGATAATAACCTCATTCTATCAATGCTGAAAAAGTTCTTATTGTAAACTTAGAAGAAAAGGTTGAGAGAGCAGTATAATTAATCCCCTGGAATTGATAAACTTGCTGGTTGCTGAAAATTTTAGAGGGTTATCTTTCTGTCACTTTAAGATTAATTAACACCTTTGTCTGCAACTGATGTTTGTTTTGAAGTTAAAGTCAAGCCTGGGTAATATTTGTTATAGATATGATGTTTTTTTACTGCCTTATGTAAATACAAGGGTACTATTTACAGGTTGTTGGATATTTAGGAATTATCTTGAAATTTTTTAAGTACAGTTGCTGTTGCATATTCTTCTTTATATATTTTTAATTCTTTGTAATCAAGTAAAATTCTCATCCCCTAATCTGCATCCTTATATTTCTACCCCTTGGTGGGGCCCTTGCTGACTGGTCAGATTTCTAGTTGTTCCAAGCATGAATTAGTGCTGTATGCCTCTTCATATCCATGTACCTGACACCTTTACACTTTTGTGAAACATTTTGGTGTTTGTGTGATATTACTCTAGATTTTCATTATTGCTCATCTAAGAAGTAATTCTTTGCTTTCCTATTTCAGACTCTACTTGTGTAACTCTCCAGCTGTGAAGGCCGAGGGTCTGAAGTTTAAAGAAGAAGGAGTAGAACGAGTGCTTAAGGACGTTTTCTTGCCTTGGTACAATGCTTACAGGTTCTTCATGCAGAATGTTGACAGATATCAGACTGTAAGTACACCCGATTAAAGGAATTCATAGTATGAGATGTTCTTATAGCTTTATACAATGTTTATGATAAAAACTGGTTGATCGATCGAAATTTTCAAGTTGTTAAGGCAAAATTTTGTGTCAAAATTCAGTTCCTTATAATTATTGTCTGGAAGGTAAAGCATTCAAATTTTTGGCTTTCTGATTACTGTTGGACCGCCATATACTTTTAGTTCATTTGTATTCAGCAAAATGACTGAAAATTGAAAATCACTATTTTTTTAAATACAGTACTTCACCTTTTTCTACAATGAAATATTAGTATTTATATTATTTTTCAGGAGGAGGGATTAGAATTTCTGTACAATGAGAACAAGATCACTAAAAGAGCAAACTATAAGGACCGGTGGATCATGTCACTAGCTCAATCACTCATCAAGTTTGTCCGGGTGGAAATGCAAGGTATATTAATGATAAGTATATCTTCTTGAAATTGTTCTTGGATATTCCTCATCAAAGGCAGTGCTTCAATAATAGGTACATGTACATGTATGTAGACCTGCTACTGTGTATATGTATTTTGATTGCTGTGGTTTGATATTGATTTACATGTTGATTTCTCTATTAAAAACTGAAGCATAAATCTGTAATTCTGTTTTAGAATGGTAAAATATCTAGAACTATTTTAAAAGTATAATATAATTTCATTTATATCATAAGAACATGATTTTGTTTTACATGTATACTGAAGAATGAGTATTTTTAGCTATTATTTTTATTCTTAGCCTATCGCCTGTACACTGTAATGCCCAGACTTGTCAAGTTTGTAGACCAGCTTACCAACTGGTACGTCAGAATGAACAGAAAGAGGCTAAAGGTAAAAGAAAACTTTTGTGAAATTTAAATGTGTTATTAGAATAAATAATAGAGAAAACAAAATTAAAAAGAAAAAAAAACAAATTTCTTAACGAGACTTAGTTTACTGTAGTTTTTAGGAAGCACTCTTTGATTTATACATGTACATACAGGTGACTCTCGATGGCTCGAACTTCGATCTCTCGAAGTTCTCGATCTCTCGAAGTGAACCTCCGGTCCCGTTTTTTTTCTCTATATAACTAAGCAAATTTACTCCCGATCTCTCGAACTTCCTATCTCTCGAAGTTCTCTATCTCTCGAACCAAGACCTGGGTCCCGTTACACACATTTCATTGTTTTTTGCTCTCTATCTCTCGAAGTTTTGATTGCGCGTGTATACACGCCAATCAAGCGTGAAATTAATGCAGCTTGGACTTACCTGGAAAACAGTGAACAGCCCAGGCTGGCACGGAGGTGTTAATTGGGTGTTTACATAGATGACACTACGCCTGTTAGTCGTCCGAGTGTTGATATAAATATTGAATGGGTATAATTGGTAAATTATAAACTTATCGCTTCACAACTTATTTTGACTCGACAGCGAGACGATATATAATTTTTAAACAGTAATTTAGAGACGTGTCAATAATTTTCCGTAGATTATGAACTTTCATTAGAGTCTACATAATCCCCGTATGGCAAACATTACACAAGAAATCCTAGATCAAGACTTGGGCAGTATTGAATACCGATTACAAGAAATCTGGGGAAGGACCCAATCGAGCCCGGGGGATAGCCACACCGACAATTACTATTCAGGTTTCATGTAATCATGGAATGAGAACAAATAAATATTGAAACTTGAAGAAATCGTTTTATTTATTCATAATGCGATCATTGTTGTTGAAATCAAGTGAATTAACTGTAAAACACGAATGAAAACGTGCAACGACTTTATCAACATATTTTTCCGGTTTCTATAATAGTAGAACAATGATGATCAGAACTGAAAATTCCGGATTTTATTCACTTTCTATCTCTCAAACCCCTCGATCTCTCGAACTTTTCTTGCGGTCCCTTGAACTTCGAGAGATCGAGAGTCACCTGTACTGTACTTTTTTCTCCTACAGGGAGAGGGTGGCCCAGATGACTGTAGGGAGGCCTTGGAAACCCTTTTCTCTGTTCTGATGACCATGATCAGGCTTATGGTGAGTTTTGTGCAGTGTGTTTACAGAATTTCTCATCGGAATATCAGATGCTGAAAATCAGCTTCACGAATATTTCATTCCAATATGTTCAAAGAGATTTTCAATTCCATATTGGAAAATGATGTACATGTAAATGGACAGGTGCAAATGTACATGTATTGTAAATCATCTTACATATAATCTTTAAAATTTTCCCAAAATTAGATATGATTTTAGAGTATTAAATAATTATCAGGGCTCGACATTAACTTTTTTCCCTACTTGTTTATTCGGACAAGTGACCAAGACATTTACTTGTCCGAACTTCAACTTTAATTGTCCGAAAATTTTTCAATAAAGATGTAATACTGTCAACTTGAAAACCAGTGTTTGAAACTCACTGTAAAATTAGACAGACATGCAGGACTGACTGCTAGTAAAAGTTGTCAGCTCTGCCAAAGATCTACTTGCCCGAGAAAAAAATTGTCTTGTATAAATTTGTTTTTTAACGATAATGTGACTGGAACCAGGTCACCATAACTTCAAACCAGAATCTATAGACTGATGAATTCTTCCTATTGGCTTGTTAAATTTTGATACCGATACTATTACTTGATATGAAAAAGATTTTAAATATCAAATATATGAATTTTAATTATCGAAAATTTTAACATGTCCATCCGGGCGTCAGTACATGCAAATTTGTTCGCCCACTGCAAAATTTGTGCGTCTCGGGCGGTCGGGCGCACAGTTATTTCAAACACTGTTGAAAACTAAAATAAAGTCCATTACCAGTCCTTACCATGATTACACATGACATGTGCTTGATTTATTCGTGATGTTTTTGATAAATACAACAAACACATAAAACAAAATTTTATCTAACAACAACAAGTTAACCTGTCAACATCAAATAGAATCCAAACTTTGTTAAGTTCATAAGTTCCATGCCTTTTCAGAAGTATGCAATTAGTGAACTTCAATCCTGATCAAATGTGAATCGAAGTCCGGTTTTTATGTAGGGCTTCCGTCTTGAAACTACCTGTTAACTTTCAAGAGTCGTTCTTTTTATTATTTAGAAACTTCTTTACATTAAAATGCACTTGTCCAATCGGACAAGTGCCCAGCAATATTCACTTGTCCGTAATTTTTTTTCACCGGTACCGGACAAGCGGACAAGTGTTAATGTCGAGCCCTGATTATCAAATACACTGTATGCAAACCTTGTTATCTCAAACTTAATGGGGCCAAGAAAAAAGTTTAAGATATCCAAGGAGTTGAGAAAGCAAGGGTAAAATACTTGAAGAATAATTGGTTGGGCCTTTCAAATCACTAGCATATCCATGGTATTAGAGATTTCAGTGTTCAAGATCCTGAAGTTCAACTGTAATTAGTTTAAATCTATTCCAGGCTCCTATGATTCCCTACATAACAGAGCACATGTTCCAGAACCTAAGGAAACTGATTGACCCAGAGTCAGTGGGAACTCAGGACATACGCAGTGTTCACTTCCTAATGATTCCATCTTACCGGTGAGCATTGTCACATAATTATTACATGCTTAAGTATGTCTTAATGATTTAGTATCACTGGCATAGTATCACTATTATCACATGTTTAAGTATGTCTTAATCATTTAGTATCATTGGCATAGTGAACACTAATTCACTTGTGTGGCTATTTGCCTTCAGGAAAAAAAATAGCATTTGTTGAAGTATTGCTTTCACTCTGATGGTTAACATTTTCCTTGTCATATCAGATCTTTTTCAAAACCTTACGTGCAGTAATGCATGAGGAGGACTAAGTAAGACTAAGTATACATTTCTTACTTTGAAAAATAATTTTTCTATTAATTTTAGGGAAGATTTCATTGATACAAACATAGAGACTGCAGTTGCTCGCATGCAGTCTGTCATAGAACTGGGGCGGGTTACACGGGAGAGGAACACATTACCCCTTAAGTACCCTCTCAAAGAGGTGGTAGCCATTCACCGCGACCCAGAGGCCTTAAATGACATCAAGTCCCTCCAGTCATACATCATGGAGGAGCTGAATGTCAAAGAGGTCAAGGTCACCCAGGACAAGTCCAGTTATGGAGCACATCTAGTAGCAGAGGCAGATTTTAAGACATTAGGAGCAAAGTTGAAGGTTGGACATGGTATTTTTATTAACCTTTTAATTAACTTTTGTGCTGAAAATATTACTGCTGGAATTTTTTACAAACTGTCAGTGAAGTGATATGTAGAAAGTATGAATTTCATGAAAAAGAAAATGTTTAAATACCGGTAAGTCAAGAGAATCCAATATTTTTCATTCATAAATCTTAAAAGAGAAATCCAATGTTCATTTATTTTTGGTATACAATGTATAGATATTTTGATACTTTGTTTAATTTAGGGAGCTGTGAAGACTATTTCTAAAGCTGTAAAGGAACTAACAGATGGTCAGCTTGAAGAGTTCCAAATGACAGGAAAGATAAATGTTGCTGGTCATGAGTTGGTTGAGGGAGACCTCAAGTTGATGTACAAGTTTGACAGCACAAAGGAAGGAGCAAAGAGTTCATATGATGCCCATTCTGATAAAGAGGTAAAGAACCTTATACATGTATCTTTTATTCAACTTTTGAATTGAAAATTAAGAGTGGAAAGATTGGATTTTCTTGATCTGAATTAGTACATGTATATCTGGTCTTTTACATTTAAATCAGTAAAATTTAAAGTAAAATTACTTTTTTGGGGGGCATTGTAATATATTAGTTCATGGTTCCCTATAGCTGTATTTATACATGTACATTGTACATGTACTAACTATTCTTATCAGTAAAGTGTGTAAAATTCCTGTTTGTCACCTTAATGTAAATGATACATGTATTTTATTTGACATTGAATTTTTGTTGAGAAAATATTAAATGTTATTTCTGTGTCGTAATAATCAAAATCTTCTACTTGTAGTTGGTTTTGTAAATTGGTAGGTGTTGTTTAATTGTTTAACTATTTCTTCTCCAGGTGTTGGTATTGCTGGATATAGTGCCAGATCAAAGTATGCTGGATGAGGGGGTAGCTAGAGAGGTCATCAACAGAGTCCAGAAACTACGACAAAAGGTCAGAAGGAAATTTATTGCATTTGTTTTTTTTAACAAATATAAAAATTCATCTGCTGTTATTGTTTTTGAATCATTGATTTATTCATACTATTAGATGAACTACATGTTAATATCAAAAGAACATAAGCACTAACAAACTGTAATGAAGTTAAAAATAAAAATTTATTTGTCTCCTGTAAATTGTATGAATTCTGTCTTTTTAAGGGAGGTTTAGTTCCATCAGATAAGATTACAGTGTATTACAAGGCATCTGAGAATCTGGATAAGATAATCCAGGAATTCAGTGATTACATCTGTAACGCCATTAAGCAGCCATTCTTACCTTTCCCTGTCCCACCGTCAGAAACCGTCTTCCTCCAGGAGTCCATGAATGTGAGTGATTCAGTAGTATCATGATGTTTATGTTTGGTTGAATCAATAGAATTCTGTTTTAAAATTTTGTTAGGCTGTCTGTTTTGGCAAACTTTGATTTAAGTTATATCTTCCAGGCTTGTAAAAAAACATAGAGCATGACTATAGGTTTCAAATGCATAAAAATAATCATATTTGACATAAAGATTCAAGGTGTTATGTTATTTATAAAGGATACACAGCATACATGTAAACTGGGTACATGTATAAGAATCAAAGTATACAAATACGTGAATGTACCCATTAATCATTCCTGTGTTATATTGTAAAATCTGAATTATTCATCCACTTCAATATTTTCTGTAGGTGAAAAAAGATAAACTGGAGATGGCCATTGTAAGACAGGATGAGTCCAGTGGTCCTAGTGAGACTGTAAGCTTTCTTCCTCCTGCCCCAGCAAAGGCAGCTCCATTCTGTAGATTTGTTAATGCCGTCCTGGTGGGGATGCCTTCACAGGAGGGAGTAGAGGGTAACCAGGCCACCGTCCTGCTGGAAAACCCCTCAGGAAATGTGGTTACGGATCTTCAACAGCTGACTGATCAGGTAGGGAATGAAAGTCCAAGCTAGATCAAAGAAATTGATTGTGTATTTATAGTCTCGGGTATTCTGTGTGTGTTTAAGTGCCTTCGGTATGTTTATTGCACATAATCCTTAACATGAGGATATTTTGCCATGATGTGAATTTTCCTTTGTTTTAAATTTACAAAATTAAGACCTAAAATTACATAAAATTTAGTAGCTTATTTTTTCATATACAGTAAAGTATCTATTTTTTCATCATTTGGATATTATCATAGTCCTAAAACACACATACAATTTTCATGTAGTTATGTATAATTATCCTTGTTTTCATTGAATCAATAGATCAAAGCAGTATTTGGAGTAAGAGGAAGACGAGTCCTGCTATACACAGACTCTGGACTGAAAAATGAACTACCAGCCACCACAAAACCTGAAATGTTGGCAGGTCTAACATTATACATGACCCCCATGGCAGGGGCACAAGGAGTAAACTACACAGCCATGGCAACACCTGTCTGTCATTTTGTGAACGTGGAATATACAAAAGGAGGCAATAAAAAGGGGACACTGTTCTTAGAAAATCCCAGGGGAAATAAACTGAGTTTTGAACAGTTACTTGAACAGGTATTAGAGACAGCACTGGGGGACTTGTGCTCTTTCAAACATTAAAAATACAATAATTGAATACAAACTTACACACGTCAAATAAAGTTATTTTTGTGTAATACATGTACATGTATTTGTAAATTCTTTTGAGATCAGTTTATATTTTTTAAGGGTTCTTGTTTAACCCTGTATACAGGGAGATTTTCACCCTCATTTATTTTGAACCCTTTCACCTTCCTCGCAAGAGGGCGAATTTAAAATGGGGCAAATTAAAAAAAAAAGTTTTATCTCTTTAACACAAGTGTGTGTGTGTGAATATGAAACTGGGCAAAATTGTTTTCAAGTGTGAAAGGGCGAGAATGAAATGGGGCAAAAAATAACCCTGTATACAATATCTGAAATGAATAATTAAATATTTCTTTGTTTATTATAGACAGCAGCTGTGTATAGTCTGAATGGCAAGAATGCAGTGTTAAGTCGGACAAAGGATAAGGCAGGAGCTGTAACTGCTGATAATACAAAGAATATTACAGATCTACATGGCTCAACACTACAACTTTTAGTGTAACGATGGTCAGATAGCTAGATGTTTAATTATTGACAGTGACAGGAGATGAAATTACTGTGCATTATTTATTTTTAACCTAAAATTATTGCAGACTGTGAAATTAATTGTAATATACTATTCTCATTGCTAAGAATGATAATCTGATTAATGGAATGATTAATGTAATTTTTTTCACATTATGGCCTTATCTGATGCATTGAAATGGTTTTCGTACGTGAAACAATGAAGGAAAAAAGTATAGTATATGAGTGTTTTTCTTTTTTTGTGTTTTTTCTGCCTTCATCCTTAATTGATGCATTTAAGACTGAGCTTATAATAGAACAATGCTCTGACAAAGACATGTCATTTTGATGTCTAAAACGATCATTATAAGCAATAAGACAGAGTCTCTCAAAGTAAAAAATTTAGAAAATGAAGATATTTTGCTCCGTTCAATAGTATTTGTTGGTTTTCCTGCCATTCAATTTGAATCTATGTGGCTAATGTTAAAAAGTAGTACTAGAAATTGAAGTAATGAACAGGACCCCTGTTTTGCTGACTCGGTGCTGAATGAAGCCTTTCATTAGGCTAGAGACATGACATCATTAGACACTAAGTCAGGTTTGATTCATATTGTACCAAGAAGTAATTGTAAAATTATTTATTGAATCTGCCACTGCCAACTTGCTGTCTGTCAGTGCCATCTGTGTGCTGTCATTGCCAACTGTTGACTGCCACTAGTACCGAATACAGATTGCCTACTACAGTATCTTTAATTAATTAATCTAAAGGATGTTTCCATTTAAACTGAATACCGTGGCCCCCTTTTCGAACCCGTCTAACATCTTATTAATTCAAAATTGAATTATTTTACACTTAATCCATATTTTGTTATCTGTGTGGTACACTACTTGTGAAAAATTACATTGGATTTGTTGAAGGTTAATAAAAATGCCCACTTTGTTGGTCCGGAATATTGCGCTAGCCCGAACATGAGGTCAATGACGTAAATACCCGTGCACACTGAAGAAAACGGACGGTGTTTTATACCTTTTTTTTTCCAAAAAGTTTACCCCAAGCTGAGGCTTGCCCAAAATTCTCCCTTGAATATGTTGAAATTACAACTGTTTTACATCTGCTATACTTTGACGAAATTTGGGCAACATTGCGCTCACCATGTATGTTTTGGAGCAGGTTAATTCTAAAGTGGTTGATTGATTGTATGTTGTTTACGTCCCGTTCGAGAATTTTTCACTCATATAGAGACGTCATCATATACCTGTGAAGGGCTTCAAATTTAAACCTTTACTTGGCACTCACGGCCATTGAGCAGTGAGGGATCTTTATCGTGCGAACGCCTGCCGTGATACGGGGCCTCGGTTTTTAAGGTCTCATCCGAAGGACCCGCAACTTTCACTTCAAAGAGCCGAGCGCTTGGCAAAGGAACAGTTGCTACCTAATGTCATCGACTTAGGTTAGTCGCGGCGGGGGCTCGAACCAACGACCTTCCGATCACTGAGCGAGCGCTCTACCGAATAAGCTACCGTGACGGTCAATTCTAAAGTGACAATAAGCCCTACGCTAAGCAGCTTGGCATTGAAGATACATTTATTGATGCAGACTACAAGAGTTGCTTTGGATGTGGGATTTGGCCTACATTTTCTGAATGAGTGACCAGGCTAGAGTTTTTGGAGCATGTCCAATACCAAGGATATATAAGGCCTATCTGAACCAAACTTGCATGAATGATGCATTAAGGGATGCACACTACCATAGTTGCTAGATTTAACCTACAATTTCCAGATAAGTGACTAGGTTAAAAGTTTTGGAGCAGGTCCATTACCAACTTGCAGAAACTTTAAGGCATATCTGAACCAAACTTGCATGGATGATGCATCAAGGGATGTACACTGCTAGAGTTGCTTCAGATGCTGGGTTTGACGTACATTTTCCAGATGAGTAAAAAGATTAAATTTTTAGTAGATAGTAGATAGTGGTACATAGAGTAGATGACTCATTCCAGTGTGACTTCAAGCCCTACCTAGACCAAACTTGCTTGGATGATGCATAAAGGGATGTACACTCTGATACTGGATTTGACTTAATTCTTGATAAGTGACTTATTTAAATTTTTAGAACAAGTCCATTCTCAAGTAACAGCAAGTCCTATCAGACCAAAATTGCATAAATGTTGAATCTAGGCATGTACACTACTAGATTAATAATTTAGTATGGGACTTTGTCGTACTTTAAGATAACATTCGTTGAGATGAGCTCTGTAATCTTTGATTACCTATGTTTGAAAGATTATACTCAAAACATGCGTAAAAATATACACTCTTCGGTTAACAAAAACAGCAAAGACTCACTATACCTTAAAAATACAGTTTTATGACAACATTTGTATCTTTCCGAGGAATATTTGAAGTCCATTTAGTCAAGGGTTGTGACGGTACATATTGTCGTCTTGTATGGCACGCCGATTGCTTCAAAATTATTTTCTGCACGACCTAAAACAAAAATTACACGAGTAAGTAAAAACTTACACAAAGTGAGGAAAATATACACGAAGTTATTGAAATTTACACAAACTATAGAAAAACTGCACAATCAACAAAATATTTACACGATATAGTGAGGAAATTACACAAACGTAAAAACGAAAACTGCACGAGTGAGAATACAATATATATACAATATATACAATAATATGCTACGCATCCTCATTGCGCACATTTCATTAATATTCATTAGAGAACAATTCAATGTGGCTTGGATGCTTGAAACATACTATAATAACAAAAGGAGGAGTAACGTGTTAGTAATCTCTTTTTAAAAAGATTCTTTTAAAATTCCGCTAGACTCTCAAGAATATGTACACCGTATATTATACATATAGATAAAATGACAGGCACACAATCTTAAACTTGTAGTATATGAACAACCCCGAATAAAAACATTCTACACAGAATACCAGTACTTGTATAGATAACGTAAAAAAGGGGGATGCATATTACCAGTTGTGTGTTTAATTGTTGGATTTTTTAAAGTATGTCATTCTTCTATATAACAATTTCTTTTGAAAGTTTAAAACAATGACATACAGGCCTAAATAAAAATAAATAAAAACATGTGATATAATACAGGAGAGTTAATAACAAATCAAACTCTTCTCCACCACCACCCACTGAGTGTACTTTTGGTAATAATCAAGGATGTGCATGCGTGACCTTTTCATACAGAGATCCCTCCCTGCTGGTTCTGGAACGAACGACACCTGTACGCTAATCGATTTACAGCTATTTGACACACCAATAATACCTTTTGATTAAAGATTATATTACTAGCATGCAATTCATACAAAAATTTTGAAGCAATGTTGCGATCATCTGGGTTGTGGAATTGAAAACTTTTTGGCAGTCAACAGTAAAGAAAATCAAGCAAATAATTGTGCAACTTAAATTTTATTATTGAAACGCATATCTCGCTTTTTGATATATGTATGTAACAAAGTACACGTAGTCTTAACTTTTGAGCATGTGTGGTGATTTCATAAAACTCCATGAAAATGTAGAAAAAATATAAAGTCGTTTTACTTATGTGAATTAAAGTTTAATTTATGCTGTTTTTAATGTATCGGCGGTAGTCTACATTGAATAGTTAAATGCATATAAAGGAGGTAAGAAAATTTAAAATTATAAAATAGAGGCACGTAATATCGTTTTTGAAAGCGTGGGGGGGGGGGAGGGTCAGTCAGATTTTTTTTTGACAACCTACCTGAAAAAACCTTGACAAGCAAAAAAAAAAATAGGGTAAAGTGTCCAAACTTGAAAATCCTATTTCGTGGGGAAGAGGGGTTCCACCTTCCACTTGATTTTCGAAACACATTATAATACCAAATTACTTTGATTTAAACTATCCTACAACAAAGGGAGGGGGGCAACCAGCTTTTCAGTGGAAATTTACAATAGAAGTAGGTTATGTTTGGAACAAAAGTGGGGGGGGGGGGGTAGACCCCTCCTGATGCTACGTGCCTGAAATATTTTCTAAGAATTTAAGGGTACATAAAATAGTCTTTAGCTAACAAAATCAGGATTGCAATTCAACTGAACTGTAACGATATTGTAAGATCAAATTCAAGAAGACATACAAGATGAACTTAATTAGCTGGGACTTGGCTACACATGCATATTTATTTTCAATGCAGATTTTGACACTAATAAATTTGCACACGGTAATAAAACAAAGATTTCTTGAGGTTTATATTCATCATATGTTTTCTTATATTTATTCGTAGTCATGCTCGAAGTAAAACAAGACCTGGTTGATGCCATTGATACACATGTACAATATTGCTATAAAGCAAACTTTTTAATTACTTGTACATGTATACGTACAAAATACAAATTGCATAGATTAGGCTTTTTAACTCATAATCTGAATTTTCAAAAACGTTAGATATGCACATGAATAGTCTTTTAAAAAGTGGATCTTGTATCAAATATGTTCCTTGAATGTTATTGACGATTATTTTCATTTTATAATTATACAGTCATGTTCTTTTTATAATGACTATAGATTTGGGTAAAAAAGTTTATTACAAAAACTTAGCGTTCGGAAAATAATTAAAATTTTATGCATACGAATTCGAAATGTAAAGAAAATTTGTTGTCTTGGAAAATATTTGTCAAACCTCGAGATCCATAAAGAACATGATTTATTTGCATTTTTCAAGAGTGATAAAACACGTGCTGTGTTCTTTCTATTTATTATAATATCCATATTCCCATTTTTTTTTTATTTGTAACATTGTACGTAGATGTATTTAGTAATTCACTATGTTTTAAAATTTCTGATGTGTCATTATGTTCCAACGATTTGAAACTTTAATAAATACATAGATTGGGATGTTGCGACTCAATCAATCCACGAACCAGATCCGCCACTAATGATATGTTTTACCGGTGCCAGGATTATTTGAGTAGAGTTTTGTTATTTCATTTGGACAAACTTTAAGTAACAAAACACAAAACCGCATGTACATAAAGCACATAGAGTATACATATTTTCCCTTTATCTGGTCCTTTTTATAAAAAGTGAAAACATTTATCAAGTAATTGCCATTACGAATGACGGTAATGCTTACCCTTAGGAATGTTTTGTTTTTTATTGAGTAGTTTATGACTGAAAATATGCGATATCATGGAAAGAATTCATAACAGTGTAGGCTACAGATATCCAACCAAAATTGATATCCTCATA